GTAGTCAGAGGGTCTTCTTTTGCATCCCGTTTTTTTATAACCCCTTGAGCTATTGTCAAGCGCAATTTGTTCTGACTGTATTTTTTTATACACACGTTCCATCTTGCTGTTTTTTGGATTTACTTTCCAATCAAGACTTTTTGTTAGGCTTAACTTACTTAAGTGTCTTGCTGCCTTCGGAACTTTATGCTTGTTTTACCCTGAAGTTTTACAGGTTTCCATACTTGCTTTGCCTAAATAAAGCAAGCTTAATGCTAGCTATTTAAATCCGCAAAATTTTACACTTTTTCCCAGAAATATTAGCACACTTGTTCAAAAAGAATCATGAAGTGTATATGAATGAGACTTTTACCATTCTGTAACGCATTCCCACCTACTTTTCAACAGATATTCGACTGGGAATCTTCCAAACTGCAGAGGCAGTAGTAATTAAAACCAAATAACCCCAGATTTGTCTTCAAAACAAACAAGCGTTACCTTTAAAATTATTATGGCTGGATCGGAGAAGTACAATTAGTTAGCATCCTGCCTCACATAATCTAAATCCATACTTTAGACACCCCTTATTCCCTATAATCTTTTAACCTATTTTCTCCTTCTTAGTTTATTTCTTCCAGTCGACTGTTTTATTAAATTGTAACTTGTGGTATCACGTAAGTGGCTTAATCACTTGGATAGTTATTTATTTTAGAATTGAATCCTTGTGACAGTCAATTCCATCAATAAGGTTCACATACAACTTTTCTCAATTGACTTCCTCAACAGTATAATAACATTAGTAGCTGATAAACGGAGTCTTTATATTACTGACACAGGATTCCTCAGCGTCTATACATAACTGTAGAACGTGAAAGAGTTATAGAAATCAATATTTTTTGTTTACTCAAATAGCTTTTGGAATATTGATTCATTTAGTTCCTATTTGTTTGGTTATTGGTAGAACCCGTTTTCCATACAAATGGGTTTCTTGCAATCCTCAAGACATTCTTTACTCCTCTGATTACCTTTTCAGCTAAGTTTGGATGTCGTAAGGGTGGCTACTTTGTCTTAAACGAAACTTCAACTGCTGCATGATTTCTATTTGTATTTTCAATCATTATATATTTCATATCTTATTCATGAAAGAGAACCTGTACTGAGCAGTTAACATCGAATATTTTAAAGCAGTAACTTAAGATTGTAGGAACTTCTGTTTGCTTCCCATCTCCATGATCTAAAACTTAAAAAGAAAATGCCTGAGTTACTTTTGTGTAAAGGTTTCCACTGAAAAGAGAATAGGTGTCTCTATCCATTTTTAAGGGTGATAATCTTAGTTGTATTGTGTTATCCGAGCTGGATTGTTTATTCTTGAAGCTTTCATCATCTTTCTAGACAGTGACATCATCAGCAATAACTTCAGTATGAAGTGAGCTGTCAGTATCTATCCTTAAGTGGTTTAGTAGATTGCCCTGACGAAGTGGTCTGTGATTGATAGTTGCCTTCGATTGTTGTGTCATTGACTGTATAGACTTTCTTGCTGGCTGTCCCTGTGCTTGACCTCTGACTTTTCTGTTGTCTATCAATTTTCTCATTGTTTAACAGATTGGGTTTATATCTAGAGATATATTGATTTCTGACGGACTGACCTGCATGCCAAGGTTCTAGGAATTTTCTGGAATCTCATATGTTTCCTCTATTCAAGATTTCTACATTGTCAAAATTAAGTTCGTGTCCATAATTATCTACTTGCTTTGAAATGAAGGATGTGAAATCTAGTGACGGGAAATAACCCCTATTTATTTCTCAGTGTTGATACTTATCTCTATTATATAGACTCAATGGTTTTAGTAGCTTGAATGATTGCTTTTCTAAACAAGTTCTATCTCAACGTATAACTATTTTAGTCCTCAATTAAAATCTACTTGTACCGTGATAATTTTCACCGGGACATGATTTATTTGATCTACGTTATGTTTTGTTTAAAAGCAGTTAACTGATCAAGATAATCAGTACAATAAAGGATTTTGTTGGTTGTCTTTTCCCAAACAACTGTTCAAAATTACAAATAACTGAAGTACTCATAAACGTTTATCAGAATAGAATATATTACCTATCTTGTTTAGTGGTAAGAAGATGAATTTTTTCTCATTACATAATATTCTGATGATTTTTTTCGGGGTCTACAAGAAAAACTTTGTACAAAGTTATACAGTGAATATGTAGATCAGAAGTTCCAAGATATATATCAGTACGCCATACTAATATGTATTATAATGAAAATAGTTATAAAACTTTAGCACTACAATAAGGGATATTTCTATCTTAGTGTGTTAGTTAGCATTATTTACTGATTTTACTACTTACTTATAGTGTGTAAGCTAACAGTCATACATTTAATATCTGAAGATTAGGCGTTCACTTATGAGCAGATAGAGTGAAGGCTAACCTATTACAACATACTATTAATTATCATCAATGTAATGCGCCTTGAAATATTCCTTTATATCATATGTACTCAGAAATATTTGTCTTCTAAGAAATTTTTGTACATGAGATGTAAAAAATGAAAGAAGATGAGCGAGTTGAAACTAGTTCTCTGTTCTTTAATAGCTTCATTTGTTCTTCCTTCTGTATTTTTGTGTGCTCAATTTAATGTCTGCATAAGTGTTGTTGTTTTAGCAAACTATTCACGTAATGATATTGTTATTGATGTTGTAATTAAATCATTTATGAAGACGTTTGGAAAGATTCTGGATAATAAACGTTGAACTCATTTACACCATATGATTATGTTTAAAAGGGGGTGGAAAGTGAGGGTCACTGGAAAACTATCGGAGAGTGTCGATCATTATTATTATTATTATCTTTCCTTTGGGTTCCTAATGGAACATAATGCTTCAGTAGCACGTCTCCATTCCACTGTCTTCTCTGCAGTCCTTTCAACTTCACTCCATGACTGTCCACAAGCTTTCCTTTCTTCCTCATATCATTTCCTTCATGTCACTCTCGACTTAGACGCCCAGCTCATCGTTTCTGATTTGGATTCCACTCGAGTACCTGGCCTGATGCTTGATGTCTCCGAATGGTCTTCTCAGTGTGTGTCCAATCCATCTCCCCTTTCTTCTGCATATTTTTTGGGTGATAGGTTCTTGGTCAGTTCGTCGCAAACCAGAGTTACTTGTTGCTTATTCTTATTATTCTGGTCATCTGGTCTTCAGTATCGACTGAGCTTAGGCAGTTGTTGATGAATGTCTGTATTTGCCGGAAATGCTTTTCGTGACGCACCAAGTTTCTGAACCAGATAGCAGCACTAACTTGACTGACGCTGGTGTTAAAAATCTGGATCTTGTTCATTGAGCTGAGTGGAGTATAGTAGATCTCCACATTGGTTTCAGGTTAATGAGAGCCTATCTTGCTGTCTTTCCAATCCTGGCTGGCTTTGACGTCCTCGTCTGTGCCACCACCGCCACCTGTAGTTGAAACGACTCTGCTTAGGTAGAGAGGTAGGTGAAACAGACTACTTCCTTTAGGTTTCTCCCGTTAATGATGATTGGTGCTTGTTGTTGATACTGTTGTTGGTTGGGCGTCTTCATCATCTCCATCTTCTCTGCATTCACTTAAGTCGCGTTTTCGCTTCCTCGCATCTTCTGTCAAACTGTTAGTTTTTGCCTATAGATCTTCAAGTTTGTGTAATATTAGACATAAATCATCATCGTTGGTGAAATCTAAGTCTTCTTCTGGGGTCTTTTGATCGGTTCAGCCAGTTTCTGCCCACCTTCCCGCTCTTAACGGTTTACTGTATGATCCAGTCCACCACAATCAGGAAGATCATTGGTGATAGTAGGCACTCCTTAATTCCTAAGGAAAGTTAGAATTTTTTTTATGAAGAGGTTGTCTAATGAACCAAATATACCTTCTGAGTGAATTCCACTTCGGCTTTAAATGAGCTATCTTCCTCTTCTTCTCTTCAGCCTCCATCGGTACGTACTGTTGGCATGACTTCGACCATGCAGGTTCTTCTCTTGAAGACAGCTGAACTTGCCTCACGACATCGGAAAGAACCTTTGACGAGTTTTTTCGTGTGATCTCCTTGACATTGCGATCAGGGCTTCGTTAGAGTTCTAAGAGCCATAATATTTGATTCTGAGCCGCTCTGAACCGGTAGACTTTAGCGGGTTCTATGACCTTTCCCGAGGTGCTAAGGTGCCTCTTAACCCGTTTGCACTTCCGCTGGGGAAAATTCGCTGATACGCAAGGTACGACCTTGGAGACAACTCAGGTGTAGCCGCTAGTAGCTCCTATTGGGCTTGAATCACTCACCATTAATAGAAGAGCCAGTACAAACTCAGTAGTCCAGAAAGTTAGCTTATACCCTGATAGACGAAATATTCACACACCTTCACACTAAACTGAACGTGGATATAGACCACTTGACTAACTCTGAACCTGAAGGACAGAACCGAGCGGTCACTACTTGGAGGGGAGGGAAGATAAAATTATTTTTCGCAAGAGTCATCTATGAAAGCTGGGTAGGGAAGGGAACAGTCCTGGATGGAAGCAAAACGCGTATCCCTAAAGGGGTCCTACATGAATGCATTCTGCAAGACGGTCATGTGTGGCATGCTGTCAAACCTACTGCTGGATCCTCGTGAATTTAATTAAACCCAATCTACTCAGGGTGCACTGCTGTCCCACAAGATAATACAAATGATGCATATATTTCAACCCTCAAGGTGTCCTAAAATACAGTAATCCACCTGACAGTTTTAAGCGCGGTAAGGCGCACAGGTGACAAATCTAAAGCCTTGGAGACTGACGTTGACACTGATGACACCACAAGTTCAAATATACGCAGTGGAATACCAAAAGTGTGTCCAGAAACCGCAGAAAAAGTAGCTACGACAGAGAGAATTGCATAGGGATAAATACAAATAATCAGTAAACTTCGATCGGTTTCCCCTGTATCTAGTGTGGTGTCTCACATCAACAGCTTTTTATATCCTCTGATCATTAACGATTCATGACCTTGAGATTGTAGACGCATTCAAAAGTGACACATGTCTTCGTGAGCTCGAGGTAAGTTTATATTCCTTGTGAATTCAAGCTGTGCTGGATATCTGTGCGATCTTATGACAGTGGCATGTAGGAGAAATTGAATTTGACCTGACCTACACAGGTTAGTCAGATTGTAATAGACACACTGCAATAGTTCATAAAATATAAAGTGAACCCACCACTTAGTAGACAAAGGAACTCCTATTTGGTTTACAAGCAAGATACAAAATAGAGACGAAGGTGAAGCAAAGACATTGAGTCACATTTAATGTGTTGCTTAGAAATGCAATATGAATCCATATACCCATCTTGCGGAAATTAACTTTATTAGCTCCTTCGATGATCATATTCAAAGAGAAATAGACCTAAATAAAGATCATTATTGTACAGGTAGACAAGGGCTGATAGTCTGCTGTCCCTGTTACTGAAAGCTGTGGATCTGCTGAGATGTATGATCTTCACGGTAAACACTCCTATAAGACTCAGTCTCTCCTTGTTTACTTTCTTTTGCACATATAAGTGAGTGTAGACAGTTTCTGTGGGTGAATAAAACCCCTTGGAAAGATGATTTACACTTCATGCTGTTTTACCTGTGCATAGAGTTGCTTGACGATGCGTTTCGTCTCACTTGAGTGTGATAACTGAAAAATGCCCTTCTTGTTGTCAATTATTATCGTTATCATGAGGGCTTTTATAAACAACACCGTAACCTACAACGGAAATGACCAGTTTCTCTTGACTCGTGAAATCCGTTTAAGGAGTCGCGAGTGATATTTCGGTTAGCGTCATTAAATCGTTGAACTGACAAGTACGGGTATTAGGAAGAAAATAACTTGGTTGCTGGACAGATGAACTGAAAGATGATAAGAAAATGAGATGCGTGGACTAACTGGATAGTAGATCATTGCAGAGGAATGCAGCGTAACGTAACAGTGTTCTAACTAGCATAGATGACTGGCCATATACCTGTAGCTAAAGAAGTTCGTTGCAATTATGAGCATCAGCATATGTGCTGAATATCGTCAAACTACAGTCCACTGGTTTCATGGATTTGTTTGTCACTACAGGATATTACCATCGGTACTAGTACGTAGCACGGCATCATTTCAGCATTCCAATATTTCGCACTACATCTTCCGTATTCTAGGAGTTATTGCTTGAGAGCTCATGTTATGTGGCACCGAGGTTGACTTTAAGAAGTTTTGATTGTCTGAAACAACTGTTCCACAACTTTGTGACAAGATCGGTTGTGAGGTAAGCAACTTAAGTGAGTTGTGACTATTCTGATAAAACTACTGCCTATCGGGGTCTGATGGACATAAGTTAAGACAATGGATTCATTGAAAGCTCTGTCTCACTGAAGTAGATCTACTAAGAAGATTCGAATTTCGTTTCATCGAAATTAGACAGGCAAGTGGGGGAAAGATAGCGATAGGTTATCTCACTGACGCTTGTGAGTCCTCTCTTCATTCCACTCCACAATACATTTTTTCAATTTGAGCTATACTCGCCAACATGTTTTCTCTAAAGACCATATTGTTGCGAAACTCTAACGTACTTACGAGATCGCTTTGTTACAGCTAGAAATCCACGCCCATCTATGGAGAAAGTACAGTAATTCACAAAATGTACCACATTGGCATGCTAAACCTTGTTTCAGGATGACTGGAAACCATCTTTCCGCTTTGCAGCATTGTCTTTGTTTTGTTGGTTTTCGTACTATTGTGTGCTGTTAAGTTTGTAATTGATGAACCTACACTTAAATAGTGAAGTGAGAATGAGTAATATAGAGTATTGTAAATTGGCAGTCACCAACCTTAGTTTGTGGGTTTTTAATATAATGTCTTTCAAACCAGGAAATACCTTAATTTCTTAGAGCAGCTTTGTCATTATTCGGTTTACAACATAAACCACTTCTGCTATTTATTCTTGATATTCATTTCCATAATGTGGGGTGCTTTAGTACCTAGGTCATAATATTTAGATTTTGATAAATTTTTGGGAGTTCATATATTTACTCTGATTCTCGCAATTTTTCGGCATCAGACAATTATTTTAGATCCCGCTTATTTAGGGAACACCTAGACTGTTCCGCCATACAGCGTTTTTGCACACATACTTCATATTAGATTATCTGATATTTAGGTATCATTTGCTACTCTCTTTTGGGGGATTTTGCATTCCATTTTGGGAATTTATGGATACAAAATGGCTCAAGACATTGAAAATCATATATTGCTGAACATTAAATGTTCTGTATTTGCCTGCATATTTTTTCCATGTTTGTAAAATTTCATAGACTTTACCTCATCTTTGCTTTGAAATTTCGCAAACATGAGTTTTCATTTTGGTATTCAAGACTTATATTGCATCTTATTTGTAGATTGACAGTGTAACACATAGTTTTTACTATGGCTGTTCTATAAATGTATAGGTCTACTATAATTGACTGCTTTTGCGAACTTCACCGAGGTTGTGCTATTGCTATTGACAACAAATTTTCAAAGAATATAGCACCAAGCGTCGTTTGTTTGAATTCTATAATTGAATGATATGTTTTGGTTTATATACAGTGAAATCGAAGGAATCTGAACCACCCTGCTTTTTGTTTAGTACATTTCAAAATGAGTCTCTGTAAGCAAATAAATGAAAATTTGGGCTACATTTATTATCTGTTTGTTACCACTGTTTAAAATTCATATGTGATAATCTATTTTCTTCAGTCACAACATTAAGGCAATATTACTGCACTTCAAATTCTTGTGCGGAAATACTACATTATAAGTGTAAACAGCCTACTAACTGGTTGCCTAGACTACCCTATATTTTAAATCTTAAAAAGTAGTGGATTAATAGGGTTTTTAGGCATATAAATCATGAAAGCCGGTTCATAAAATTAAATTTAAAAAGATGAAACTTTGAGTAAAAAGTTATTTTGATTACCTTTTGCCAATTAATGTTTCAATATTTCATTAAACACTTTCTTATGCAATTTCTAATCCCTACAACTAGTTAGCTGCCTGTTTAACTGTCTGCCGAAATTTTTAGTCTCATAAGATGTGTTCATATCTACACGATTTAATAATGGTATTTGTTGGTTAGGTTAGACGAGCCTTCAAGGAAATCTTTCTTATCCATAATGTAGTTATTTTGCGATACGAAATAAATATGAATACAGTCCATGTGAAATGATTACAAAGGTCTCATGTTTATACGATGTTTTTGTGATTGAGTCCTATAAATCATCATGCTGTCTTCCTTTGAAGGAAATCAGAGTATATATATATATTCCTATAATTTTCAATATCATCAACATTATTGGTAACTAAAAAGTAGACCGTGTTGGTAAAATTCCAACTCCATTTTCATTGATGTGCAACACATACTTGTTAGTTTTCCATTGATTATTTTACTATTCCATAATAATGCAACAAACTTGTGTTTGACTCTTACTGAGATAGAAACTTTGCACTGAAACTGACATAAAAGCAGCAGGTATGTAGTAAATATGAGGAGTCGATCCATTTAAAAACACCCAGCAGTTATTTTGTCTTGGAGAAACTATCACCACATATGTTAAGGAATTCAATTAATTCGCAGTCTGGTTTTAAACCTATTTTTTGGCTTGTAGTCTCGCTTCGTTGATAAAACCGAATTAATCTGCTTTTACTGTAATATGTATACCCATGCAGATGCCTGGATATTTTAAGGTAGTCCAATGAAATACATTCAAAACAAAATATTCATTACGTCAAATCAGTAGAAGATGGAAGGAAGCTTCAGCATGACCACCGCTAATTTCACTTCTAAGTCATATCTGATAATGTCTCAAGCCACTGAGTTGCCTGGTCTCTCGGACCACACCCATGGAGTCGTGATGCGCCAACAGATGCTAACCCGATACAACTATCCTTCTTCCCATGGCGCCACTTTATATACTCACCAAGCATTCGCTTCTCCCATTCAATTCGAGGATTAGCAAACAATGAACGGTGTGGAAACCGCTGGGACGATATGCGTAACACATTTTCAATCCAGATAGCTTTACTTAGTGAATGATGATCTTCATCGTGCACAAACAAACGCTAACGTGCCTCAAGGCTATTTACGTGGTGTTACCACCCAGTGATTGACGGTAGCTGGTAGTGGTATTTAAGGGGTATGTCTTTTTATATAAGTGACTTACCAACCGAGTTTTTCAGCAACCCCCTGCTTAATATTGTGATTGATCAATTCTATCCTTCCCAAAATGAGAAACTATCATTATTATTGTTATTATTTGTCCCTTGGGTTCCTAGTGGAACATAGGACTTCAGTAGCACGTCTCCAGTGAACTCTGTTCTCTGAAATCTTTTGAACCTCGCTCCACGACAGCCCACAACCTCTCATTTGCTCCTCGCACCATCTACTCCATGTCACCCTCGGACTCCCAATTAGTATGTAAGAAATTAAAATATACTTGATATGGAGAACTAAAGGAGTAAAAATAGTATTCCCAGACAGGCTATATCAATTTTATTATATAATAAAGGCGTTTTACTTGGAACTTAATTTACATAACTAATGCATATTTCAACCAAAAAGCTTTTAGTTGACTTCTCATATACCTCCGTATAAATAATGTCTGTGAAATAATTTCATGTTAATTTAAGTCGATCATGGTGTGTTATAGCAATTTTTATGCATAAATGAGTTTTTTTCATTTAAAAAAAGGACCATACATCGTTATTAGGTGATTTAGTTAAATATTTCGATAACTATGACTCTTAAAATGAAAGGAAGTAACAGTTACTATTTTTGGTTTTATTTTATAAACTGGGAAAGGAAGATAAACCTGATTGGTGATCAGTTGTAAGTATCTATTCTAACGTCAAGTAGGGTACTCATAGGCGTAGCTAACGCATGGAAAGTGAAGTAATATTTTGATAGTGAGGTGTTCAGAAATTCAGAATCATGTGATCGTTTCAGAGTTGTATATCCCATGATTGTCAGTTGAAATACAGCATTAAGTCATACTATTT